AATTATTCCTAATTACTACCATCTCCCGATGAGCAATAATCTAGAATAAACTTCCCCTAATAAGTTCCCCTTTCCCAAGGACCAACCATTAGGTGCAATCGTGTGTGCCCTGATTTATGCCCCAACTCCCATTGGTGACACAAACATGACTGTGAAGCTAGTATTTTAGGCCTTTAACCACCAACAACAACAGATTAAAACAAGATTGCAACACAAATCATAAAACCAAACATAAATATATTAAGAAATTAACGAACTAGGCACATAGGTTCATAAACAAATTCACCCAAAAATCCCTAAGGAATTTAGCCGAGCATGGCTAAATTATACATAGCAAATATGAATAAAGGATTACAAATCATCAGAAGAGTACAAGAATTAACCAAGCGATTCTCCCAAATCTCCTTGGCTTCCTCCTTGCTTCCAAAGACGACTTGAGCCTCTTGATTTCTCTCTTTCTTGTCTACAAAGAACTCTAAAAATCTCTCGGTCTGTTTTAGGATTGAGGAAGGAGGGATTTTATAGTGGGTACAAAGTTGAGATGAAATAGGAATCTTGTACCAAATTGGACTCAAATTCTAATTCCTATATTTAAATAAAGAAATTGTCGTCTTTAATGATATTTAGAATTTGGAAGATTCCTTGAATTGCTAACTTTTAATATGGAGATAAGAGCCTTGAAATCCGCGCAATTGATATTAGGAAAAGAGATCTCGCGCTTGTATTGAATTTTGCCCAGCTGCGCCACTTTAAGCGTCTGTTTTTTTATCCGCGCCACTTTAGGCGTCTGTTTTTATCCCAGAAACCGACGCATATTCGACGCGTCGAGAATTTTCTCGACGCGTCGAGACTTCCTGTGCGCGAATTAATTAGCTACTGGAAAATTTCGACGCGTCGAGCCCTTGGCTCGACGCGTCGAGTCCACTGGGCCCCAAACTCATCCAAAATTGCTCCAAACTCATCCTTGAACTCCCCTTGGTCATATCTTTGACCTAAAATGGTTCAAAAACACTAACAAACACCGTAAAATATTCAAAACAAGTGCGAACCATAATTAAATGATAATAGCAAGGAAAACATGTATTAAATAAGCAAAATTAAAGAGCTTAATTACTGTGATGATTCAAAATAACCATAAAAACAAGCACAGATGTGATAACATCACCCCCTCACACTTAAGCTTTTGCTTGTCCTCATGCAAAACTAAGGAATAAAATCACATGTAAAAACGTACAAATTACTCATGCTCTCTCTTGCACAACCTTTCAAACCACCAACCCACTTGCTACAAAACAACAAGCTTCAAGAATCAAATTAGTTTGGCACATAAGAGACCCATTTCCAAGCCAATAACCAAGCACCAAGAATTTAAAGCATGTGAGGATCAAATGTGCACAAATACTCAGTTGAGATTATGCAAGATACGGTTCATGAATGAGATCCCTTAGGCTTGCCTTTCATACTCCCCTAGATCAAATCTAAGAATGCATGCTAAGATCAAATAGGACTTTATTTAGCTTGTAATGGGGCTACGGGTGATGGCTAACAAAGAAGTGGTATGGAAAAATTAATCAAAAAGAGAGAATGTCACAATTTATCTAAACTTTTCAAAATTTGGAAGAGATGAGATAATCATAATTCCAAGGAGCAAATTTCTTTTAAGAACTTAGCAACTCTTTGGTAAAGTGGGGATCCAAACTCAAAAACTTTCAATCTTTTTTTTTTTTTTCTTTTCATTCTTTTCTTTGTCTTTGGACTTCTTTTGGATATAGCAAGATAATTTTAATCCAAACTTTCATGACCTCCACACTTGAACATTTGTAACACTAGCTGCTTCTTTTTTTGTAGCACAACTCCATAAAAACTCTTCTTACAGAAAAGATAAAGATAAAAGTTTCATTCTTTCAAGGGTGGATGGGAAATATTTGGCCAAGGGTAAGGGTTATAATAATGGGGTAAATCAAAGAAAAACAATCACAAAGAGGGGATAAGTGCTTAGCACTTATTTGAACAAACAAAAGGCACAATGGGGAAACGAAGGATAAAAATATATATATAGGGACAGGTTTAAAGGCTATGGCTAAACAATAATGGCCTAAATCACTTCAAAACATGCAAAACTTAGACATCACTTAGGGAGTAATGAGGCAAGTTCTAGCAAAAACACCCATGACCGGAATCTCACATAAGCCTTCACTAGCAATGCAAAACACAAGATCAAGGATTAATCCAATTATTAAGTGGTTAACAAAGCTATTGGCAAGGGAATAGATCAAATATGTGTTACACCTCAAATCATCCATCACAAATTGAGATGCAGCAAGCACCACTAAAACAAACCACAAACCAACAAGAGAGAGTAATTGTAACAGCATGCTAAGACAAGTAACTTATTCACCAAAAATAGCATATGAGTCATCCAAGCAAAAGCAAAAATTTTTAAAATTTTAGAAATATCCCCAGAAATATCCCCAAATTAATGATTCCTCCCCCCACACTTAAAACTTTGCATCGTCCCTGGTGCAAGAGAAAAGAGAAAAACTATAAAACAAAAATAATCACGAACTAGAAAGCAATAAAACTAAATAAAACGAATCTAGAATGCAATAAAATTAAACTAGAAAGCAATAAATATGAAAGAAATAAAAGATAACATGGGGTGCCTCCCATGAAGCGCTAAGTTTAACGTCGCTAGCTCGACCTAACCTGGTTATGGAGTGCTCATCCTGGTTGATCCGCGAGTTTGATCTCATCACCCCATAGACTCTTCAAATGCAAATACTCATCATGGGTCACCTTGAGAGTAGGGTCGATGTGCAAAATTGACTTGCACTCAATGATTTTTGGCTCATCAAGAACATTAAATTCCACCTTTTCCTCCCCAAAGTCAAAAATCATGGACCCTTTCCTTGCATCAATCATTGCTCCAATAGTGGCTAGGAAGGGTCTCCCCAAAATGAGTGGAACGTCTAAGTTCCTTTGGACATCTATCACAATAAAATCACAAGGCACAAAATACTTGTCCACACGAACTGGGACATCTTCAAGGATTCCAATAGGCTTTACGATGGATCTATCTGCCATTTCTAGGGTGAATTGGATTGGTTTTGGCTCTCCCAACCCTAACCCTTGACAAAGAGTAAGAGGCATAACACTCACACTGGCTCCTAAATCACAAAGGGATCCCTTTAACGGTCGGCCTCCAATCACACAAGGAATTGTGAACTTCCCGGGATCTCTATGCTTAGGTATATTCCTCCCAATTCCCGGGGTCAACGCTTGATACTCTTGTGCCACAGCTACCATCTCTCGTTCCCCATATTTCTTTTTCTTAGCTAGAATCTCTTTCAAAAATTTTCCATAAGAGGGAACTTGTGAAAGCAAATCAAGTAAGGGAACTGAAACTTTCAAAATCTCAACAATCTCCAAAAACTTTTTCCACCTACTTTCTTTTGTTGTTTCAAGATTTTGAGGAAAAGGCAATGGGGGTACATACCTTCTCACAGGTTTCTCTACTTCCTTTTGAACTTGTGGATTATTTTGCACAGCAATTGGCTCATCTTCTATACCATCAAGTATCTCTTCAATCTTCTCCTCAACTGTCTTTTTAGGAATTGATGCTTTGATTGGAAGAGGTTGCTCTTCAAGTACTTTGCCACTCCTTGTAACAATTGCATTTACATGCTCCCTTGGATTTTCAGGCATAGCTGGCAACTTCCCTGTGACTTTAGTACTTGATATAGAAGGTTGATTTGCTAATTGCCTTTCAACCATATTTTGGCGAGCTTCCATTTTATCCATCCTTTCTGTAATCTCTAACTGACCTTTAATCAATTTTTCCAACAAAACGTCCGTATTCGATTGTGGTGGGGCCTCTGAAATGGGAAATTTAGATTGAACTTGAGTACCTTGATAACCCAGAGGACCTCTATTAACAAAGTGTTGATGGTTGGCAGCTCCCACTGGGTTGCTCCATGAAAAACCGGGATGGTTCCTTGAATTATTAGGATGGTAGGTCCCTTGAGGTTGGTAAGACTGTTGATGAGGCCTATTATATCCCAACATATTAACTTGCTCCATAGAGGTTTGGGAGTTTAACTCGTCGATACAATCCCCTGAATTGTGATTTTGGCTGGTGATTTGGGCAAGTTTTTGAACCAAGGAGACCACATTATCCAACTTTGTTGACAAATCGGCTAATTGCCCCGCATCATGAATTCCTCCTACAAGCTTTTGTGGAGACCTCTCCGTGTACCAAGTAGATCCATTCATAGCAATTTTCTCCAATAGTTCCTCGGCTTGTGTTGGCTCTAGAATCGTGAACGAACCACCCGAAGAAGCATCCACCAAAATCCTAGAATTATCAAGCAATCCTTCATAGAAAGACATCATCAAATCCCAACTTTGAAATCCATGGTGTGGACATTGCCTCTTCAATTCCTTAAATCTCTCCCAAGACTCAGTGAGGGACTCAGTTGCCAGTTGCTTAAAGTTTTGAATTGCCCTTCTCATCCTTTGAGTTTTGGAGATAGGATAGAACTTCTTCAAAAATTCTCCATGTAATTTGTCCCAAGTGTCAAAATGGTTATCTGGATGTGAGGATAACCAATCTTCAGCCATGTCCTTCAGTGTAAAGGGAAAAAGCCTAAGTCTGACGGCATCTTGAGTGACTCCATTTATCTTGAAAGTGCCACAAAGTCGTAGGAACTTGGTGGCGTAAGCATTGGGATCTTCCGTGGGCATCCCTCCAAATCGATCTGCCGCAGCCATGCTAAGTATGGCCGGATTGATCGCAAAGTTATTGGCCTCCACATTTGGAATATTGATGCTACCATGCTCCTCAACATCCGGAGCAAGGTAGTCAGACATTGATCTCCCTCCAGCTTGGTTTTCTTGTACCTGTGCCATCCTAGTTTGTTTCCTAAGAAACTTGGCTCTTTTCTCAATCTCAAGATTCAAAGGTAATAATCCTTCTTTCCCACGAGATCGTGTATGCATAAAAAGCCAAGTTCTTAGATTCAAAGCAAAATCACACTCAAGAACAAGGAACTTGTTATGGATTAGGAAATAAATAAAATAAATAAATAAATAAATAAATAAATGAACTAGACTCCTAAAGTAAGACTTTCACTAATGTCAGTACGTAACGCCACCTCCCCGGCAACGGCGCCAATTTGATTGCTGTAATTTGGGGCAAACAAATAATACCCGGAGTATTCGGGTTGTCGAACCACAGAGAGGTGGTGTACTAATCACTAGCTACTAGGTTACTCATATGAAACTAGTCCGAACAAAACTTGAAGGTTGATTGATTGCATAAAATAACAAGCAGAATAAAATAAGTAGCAAGGTTTTGTAGACAATAGAGCAAAATAGGATTCATGGGATCACAATGTTTAATCACCTAGTGCCAATTAACGTTTGTAATATTTGGTTTGGAATTAAGATTTGTATGGCAATGCAAAGTGGAATCGAATTACTCCCGTAATCTCTATTCCTAGTGAATTTCCACTCCCATGGCTTAAACACCCAATAAGATCAAAGATCAGCATTCAATTATTCCTAATTACTACCATCTCCCGATGAGCAATAATCTAGAATAAACTTCCCCTAATAAGTTCCCCTTTCCCAAGGACCAACCATTAGGTGCAATCGTGTGTGCCCTGATTTATGCCCCAACTCCCATTGGTGACACAAACATGACTGTGAAGCTAGTATTTTAGGCCTTTAACCACCAACAACAACAGATTAAAACAAGATTGCAACACAAATCATAAAACCAAACATAAATATATTAAGAAATTAACGAACTAGGCACATAGGTTCATAAACAAATTCACCCAAAAATCCCTAAGGAATTTAGCCGAGCATGGCTAAATTATACATAGCAAATATGAATAAAGGATTACAAATCATCAGAAGAGTACAAGAATTAACCAAGCGATTCTCCCAAATCTCCTTGGCTTCCTCCTTGCTTCCAAAGACGACTTGAGCCTCTTGATTTCTCTCTTTCTTGTCTACAAAGAACTCTAAAAATCTCTCGGTCTGTTTTAGGATTGAGGAAGGAGGGATTTTATAGTGGGTACAAAGTTGAGATGAAATAGGAATCTTGTACCAAATTGGACTCAAATTCTAATTCCTATATTTAAATAAAGAAATTGTCGTCTTTAATGATATTTAGAATTTGGAAGATTCCTTGAATTGCTAACTTTTAATATGGAGATAAGAGCCTTGAAATCCGCGCAATTGATATTAGGAAAAGAGATCTCGCGCTTGTATTGAATTTTGCCCAGCTGCGCCACTTTAAGCGTCTGTTTTTTTATCCGCGCCACTTTAGGCGTCTGTTTTTATCCCAGAAACCGACGCATATTCGACGCGTCGAGAATTTTCTTGACGCGTCGAGACTTCCTGTGCGCGAATTAATTAGCTACTGGAAAATTTCGACGCGTCGAGCCCTTGGCTCGACGCGTCGAGTCCACTGGGCCCCAAACTCATCCAAAATTGCTCCAAACTCATCCTTGAACTCCCCTTGGTCATATCTTTGACCTAAAATGGTTCAAAAACACTAACAAACACCGTAAAATATTCAAAACAAGTGCGAACCATAATTAAATGATAATAGCAAGGAAAACATGTATTAAATAAGCAAAGTTAAAGAGCTTAATCACTGTGATGATTCAAAATAACCATAAAAACAAGCACAGATGTGATAACATCAAAAATATCTCTACCTTCTCTCTGGAAAACAAGAGTAGCTTATTCTTCAAGCCAAAAGAAGTCTTTGTCAAGATTCCAAGTTTTGCTTCCAAGATTCAATATTTCATCTATTTTGGCATCTAGAAGGGTAAGATCTAAGCTTGTCTAGTCTTTTTGGTTCCATCTTAGTTGCCTTTTTCTTAAAGGTTGGATCTTTATGATCTTTTGGTTTGATCTTGAAGTGGGTTTGGCTAGTGAGCTTAGTGGAGAGCTTGTTGGGGTGTAAGAAGAGTCTTTTGGTCTTCAAGCGGTAACCCATGCTCTACAAAACCTATTTTGCTTACCTATATACGATTTCTTGGCTTCTACTTGTGTTTTGATATGAAATGTGAGAGTTTATGCATTTATCTTGTGATATTGCATATCTAGAGCTTGTGTTTAGGATTCCTTTGTGCCATTGCTTGGCATTTACCTTGGTTCAAGTCATTTTGTTGTGCTTGGTGAGATTTGACATGTTTTGGACTTGAATTTGTGTTTGGAGGAGAAAATCCCCAAAGGGATTTGTTGTGGTACAGGGACGTACCCGCAGGCGGAACGGCGGGCGGGGCACCACCCGCCGGCCTACCCGCGAGGAACGTGTGCCCTGCGGGTTGTGTACCCGCGGGCGGGACCACGGGTGGGGCACTACCCGTGGGTCCACCCGCGGGGAACACGGTGGAGTTGGTTCGGGATTTGTTCCCCGTGATTTGTTTGTCTTGGTCTTTGATCTTTTGGCCTCCCGTTGTTCTTTTGTGGAACTATTTGAGCGACTTCTTGATGTTTCGTAGGTCTAGAGCTTTATGGTAGGTATCCATGTAGGATCTTTGGTGTTGTGAATCGTGCTAAGTGTTCAACATTGTGTTTCGTTGAACCGTGTGGTGTCTTGTGTGTTCCTCGGAACTATCTTGAGTTTCCTCGTTGTTGAGCTTGCTAGTTATTATCTTAATGCTAGCGTCGTTGTTGTCGATGGGTGGTGACCTGTCTCTTGATTGAGTGTGTTTCATACCTTCTCTTACAATCCGTTGTTCGTTTCGTGTGAGTGGTGGTGCGTGTGTGGCTCTACCTGGATTGCACGATTAGTGGTATGGGACACTAGTCACCAAGGTATTGCAGCGGTCCTCGTGGTGGCCGTGATGTGATTTCATGGAGTTGTGGCTGAGTCCACGTGTTTGGAGGATAACATTGTGTTATCTGGGCATGTGTTGCCGTGATTGGTGTGTTGCCGTGATTGTAGGTGGGGGACGACGGTCCCGGCGGAATAAGGTTGGACTTGGCTGTACAGGGGTTTTCTGGAGGTAATGGTTGGCACCGAAGGTACAAGGTTGGGGGTAGCCATAAGGTTGGAACAGGGCATAAGGAAGGCATATCAACTCGTGATGTGTGATGTCACAAGGGCTTGTGAAGCCGTTGTTGTGGTGAGTTCTCTTCTCTCGTGACGTGTGTAGTCACGGAGGCTTGTGGTGTGGTGTTTTGGCATGTGTTGCCGGTGGGTGAGTCTTTATCCTTGTGTGCGGTTAATCTTTGTGGTTGGGATGTGTTCCCGGTTTTATCCTTGTGAGTGGTGAGTCTTGTGTTGTCTTTTGATCTTGGCTTTTAACTTATATATATTTATTCCGTTTCGAAAATGGTTTTCATATTATATATCTACCTATTTATGATACTTAACGGTATTGGTGGGTTACCAGCATCTTTCGCTGACCGGGCGTCGCCCCGATGTTTATCTTTGTATCTTTCAGGTGATGCGTAGTCGAGCGCGATGTCTAGAGCCGGTAGCTTAGCACCTGTATCTTTAGACAGTGTTGTTGAGGCCTGTGTGCCAATGTCTTTAGATTGTTCTAGTTGTTGTTTTTGGGATAGTGTTACACTTGCAGATTGTCGCCGTAGCGTATGCCAAGTGTGGTATACGTGGCATAACACCCCGTTTTGGATTCCTTTTATCCAGTTATCATTTTATCTTCCGCTGTGCTAGTGTTTTGTTGTTAATCTGCATGTGTTAAGACTTATTTTTATGTCGTGTTTCGGGGGGTGTTACAGCAGGACCCTTCACGCGCCCATACACGAAGCGCCAGTGCATATACCTCTGGCATGTCCCTGAAGCACCCTGCCTGTACCGCAGCACAAGGGGTCGATCGCAACCGACCGATGAATCGCAGCTCATCATAATGTTTGATCGCAACCAAATAGTGGACCGCATCCCAAAAGTGTATTTCTGATCGCAACCAGATTATGAACCGCAGCTCATGTAAAACGTTTGATCGCAACCAAACGGTGGACCGCAGCTTTATATAATATTTATATACCTGACCGATCGCAACCGGCCTGGTTAATAGTTGGTATGGTTCTCAACCCATCCAACTGCCCATATAGCCAATTTGATCGCAACTAAGTTGGGGTATCATGCACACATAACACATAGCAAGCACATGCAACCCACATTAGCACATTGGGAAGGGGGAGAAAAACGTATAAAAATAAACTTATGCGTGGTCATCCACATACTAGGAATAGTACTAAGGGGTTCATACATCTTTCACCTAGGCCAACGGGATACCAATTCAACTAGCATGCAATACACAAGACTCTTTTATCCTACGAACGGTACCCGAAACATCGAACTAGACATAGGCACGATAAACGGAGTCCGTTGGGACACCACGAGGGTCGGGAAAACATCAAACGAGGAAACCACCATCCCACACTGGGGAAAACCCCGCGGGTGGAGGACCACCGGCCAACTGCCCGCTGCCGGCGACGCCCTTAGGGGCAGCGAGTAGGTGGCAGGTTCCCCTACCCCCACCTACCCCCCACTGACTCTTTTTCAATACTTGGGTCCCGGGATCTTTTGTGGAACCCGAAACCATGTTTAGACACTTTTAAACGCGAACGACGACACCACGTAGTCAAATAACGGATCAAAACCAAGAATCACATTGAACATATCCTAACATGACTTCTAAATATAAATAACACCCGAACATGCGAAATCCCACCCAAATATACCAAGAATATCACAATACGAAATGCCCAATTTAACCTAGGGCTCTAATCGTATCTAAATCATCAAAATCATTGTTTATCTTTAAAATCAAGATTTATCAAGAACATCACACAATTTATCAAGATCCTCTTATAATCATCAAGATTATCAAGATCAACACATAAGATCATCTCATCAATCATCAAGATCATATCATCATCATAAAAGGTTTTATCAAGAATCAAGCAATAGAGAAGAAGCCAAAGAAGAAGATTATAGCAAAGAAAATAGGTTTTGTT